ACGCATTTTCTATTAGAACAAAACATGCCTGTGGGGCCACCAGACATCAACTGGAAATGCAATCTGGCCTGTGCGCTGACACCCGGCGCGTGTGCTGGGGTGGCTGCTTTAGGACAGCCGTGTGAATGTTATCACTCTCTGGAGATGTCTGGTGCCTCCCTGGACCTATACCTCCTCACATGAGGAGGTGATTCACATGAGTGAATGGATGGTGATGGTGGGAGGTTCTGGTGCCACCCTGTGTGACCACTTCCAACGGTCATCGTGAATGAATAAAGTTTGAAAACATCACCATTTAGCTACAACTTGCACTGATCCAAAAGCTCCTATTGCTAGTCAATTGTTTAAAACACCGTCTGATTTGGTGTTCAGATGTGAAATCAATTTTGACATTAACTTGTATGATTCATTTATGTCGTTACTAAGATGGAAAGCATTGAACATGAGATATTAATCGAAACTAGATACTCAAATTAGCAGGTATTAATAATTATTTTAAGATACAAAACAAGGTCTAAATGTAATAGTTCCAGGGATTTAATTTTTTTTTTTTCTGTTATCCACGTCTAATAACAGTGTTTATTCTAACCAAGGGAGTGCCTGAATATTTGTCTTTTGTTTAGATGATTGAATCCTTTTTGTTTATGACCACCATTAATTATCTTGGATGTTCAAGCTCCCAGTCTGCACTCTATCTCCAATGTTGAACTTAATTTGAAAAACTGAAGGGACACCGTTAGGAAAAGTACAAAAAAATAAAACCTCAAAAAGAGCTTAAAATAGTCAATGTCTTGTTGGACCTTATAAAATCGTAATACTATTCCATATACCCTTGAATGTTGTATTTTGCCATCACAAAAGGTGAGGCGAGAGTATGGACTTGCTTTGTGACAGAGTGCATACACAGACAAACAGACTATGGTCAGGGATTTGCGTCCAAAAACCGTAATTCATAAATGTACAACCTGTAGTTTTGTCTGTTCTTCATCGCGCATGCCCTGCCGAAAAAGAACTGATCATTGGCTGTTTGTGTGACAACGCTTTGGGACAGAGCAGAAAGTGGAAACGTGTGGGAGGAGGAACGAGGAAGGACAGACGGCGGAAGCATATATAGGTGCTGGTTCTCGGCAGGGCTGGTGTGAATGCAGATCGAGAGTTCCTGGACATGCATAATTCACCACAGGGGAGATAGGAGAGGAGGTGGGTTGAAAGAAAGGGAATGGGAAGGTAGGTGAGATAGGGAAGGATGGAATAGGGGTGAGGAGACAAGGAGGAGGGGGTTAGGAGAGAGGAAGGAGAAAGAGGAAAATGAGCAGTGCGTCTCAGCCAGCGTCAGCGTCTACAGTGAGGAGGTAATTAGGGAGCTGTCACTTGTTCCTGTCAGGCAGCACTCCGGCTGAAACATGGAGCGCACCCGCATGTGTGTCTTAGGTTGTTCTTGTGGGGGAGGGCCGAGCTGGTGGAGGGAGGACTGTGTGTGCGTTTACATGTGTGTGTGCGTGCGCATGTTTGTGGATGCCGGGGATGTGTATATAAATTGCGCAAAAAGAAAGTGGGGAGGGAGTCGGAATTCAAATGAGACACAAGAAGGAAAACAGAATAAACTAACCCACTGTGAGTGAATTGTAATAATAGTAGATCAAAATTATTCAGAATTATTCTGTAATAAAGGCAAGAAAGGCTATAACCTGTGGTATGAGCGCCGGAGAGCCACACTAAAAAGCGCTCCACCATGGTGTACTAAGCATTTGCCACTTCAGGATAAAACCCCTATCTCAACTGCTGAGTGATTTATTGAGGTAAACAAATTCATCTGCATGCATTATTGACACAAGACCCACAACCATGCAGTCAGCAGCCTATGTCTCCTGTCAGCCTTCTGCATGTTGATTGTCTCAAGTCAAAATAATAACACACTAATGTTTAAACAATCTCCTTGTCAATGAGAGCATATTTGACAGTTACTTCTTAAGGCGGGGAGCGGGAGACGAGGTACACAAGTGCAGTCGCTCAGTCAGCTACTGCGATGTGATGCATGGGTATTTAAAGCTGCAAATACCTTTATAATCTGCAGCCCCTCAGGAGACAGTAGCGTGCCATATGAGCGAAGCGGTGTGGGCCTGTCGCTGGAGTTTTTCACAGTGACACCGGCACTCATACTGCTCACTGGGTGTTCCAATTAAAAGCCACCCCTGCCAGGAGTACACCGGCTCGCGACAATGCTAGCCGGTGCACACAGACACGCGCTCATACGGGCTAATACGCCACGCGCTGACAGGCCACAAACACAGGGCTGAGGATGATGGATGGTGTGCGTAAACTGGATGGGGATCTAGACTTTGGCTAAACAGCTCAGGCCTTCATCAGGGCCAGTGCTCAGGCAGGTGGCGGGCCCAGGACGCGCAGGTGCCCAGGCTGCTGTGACGTGCACGGTAATTATCTCACAGGGTATATACGGAGTGTTGGTTAAAAGTAATCATGTTGGGTTTAAATCAGAACGTGGACAGGTGGGACGAGAGAGGCCACCAAGAGTCACTGATATGAGGAGTTGGGTTTGTTGTTTCATCCAAAAACCTTTTCTTTTTTGCTTATAGTTTATCGTTATTAAAGACGGCAATATATGAAAGTCAAACAAAGTATAACACAAACATCGTCTTAGTGTGTGTACATCATCATCAAAAATAGAAACAGATGTCATAAACACATATCAACAAAAAACCTTCTTTGTTTTCCTTTCTTTATATCATGTGTTGCTTTCTATAAAGATGGACACAGCTCCATTGCCTTTACATGAATCATCTCTTAATAAGCAGTTTGGGAGAAACAAGTTAAAGTATAATATTCTCTTTTTAGAAGTAACTCGACAGTGGGACTCAAAAATCTAAATTGCTAATATATTTTTAGTTACAGTAAAGTAATATATCAAGGTACATGCAGACGTAATAAATCAATGGTTAATAGTGCCTTTTTCTCACTATTAACAATTATTTAGAGAAATATGATCATTGGAGTTAATTACAACGTATATGGGACAAAAAGAGCATTCGATTTACTGAAGCATCTGAAACAAAACGTTGACCAATGTCATTAAATTCTTATCTATGCAATATGATTAATGTTTTGGACTAAAAGTAACTCAATCCATTTCGTTGGTCCATTGTTTTTATTGTCACATTGTTTGTATCTACAAAAACAGCTTGCTACAAATGCTGTAACTAATTGGTCCATCTGAGGAGAACCCAGCCGTCACAGAAAAGCCGTGAAAACAAGTTCATAAGTCAAAGGCATTTTGTGGAACATGAAGATGAACAAAATAACCACAATAACATGAATTTGTAAGGACTTTTATGCATAGCTCCACAGACAGTTTAGTGTAAACAAGCGATATTGTGCATGAGTGTCACAGAGTGAGACATGCCATTTTCCCAGGGCTGGTCCTAACCAGCTCATTAGACCACTTCAGACGTATTTGCACGGCGAGGGTCTGCCATTAAACACATCACAAGGCCTAATAAATGTATTATTTAAAAGCTGTGCTCCAATTACTAATTGATTAGAGTGAAGCGCCTCATCAATAACACACAAGCAGCCCCTTCAAATCAAAATACACATGATTTATACATGAAAGGCTTTAAAAGAGATAAGTTCTCAGCTAATCAGTCATACATTTTTTAAACACCCAAATTTTTTGCTCATAATAAAAATAATGTTGAGTGGCTGTCAGATCTGCTTTTGTGCGTGTTATGTATGTGTGTGGGAGTGAGAGAGATGTGGTGAAGAGTGTAGCCACAGAATTGCTTCATGTGTCCCACTGGAATCAATATGAACGAGACAAACAGAAAATATTGCCCAAGTCTTGAATCAAATGCTGAATTTATGAGCAGCAGACTTGGAAAGTGGGTGTATATGTAATGAATATAAATAAAGCCATTGCTTTTTAACCTTTATTAAACACTTGTCCCCATAGGCAGCTCTCAGTTTTCTCTGCTGGAAAGGTCCAATTACCATCCTACAATATTAATAACACAATTATCCTCATTAAGAAGTGGGCATAATAGTGCCATGTTCAATGGAACAATGTATTAGAATGATTCATTGTATAATTCGACATGTATGCTTTGTTTATTTCCGGCCGTTGGTGGTGTATAACCTGTTACTCTCTTGGTCTCTAGTATACTGTTGACTTCCAGAAGACACAACATTTGTAGAATCGTGTTGTTTTGTGCAAAGACATAACATACATTTTGCAAACTAAGATTGACTCTTGAACAAGATCCATACCTATTTTGTACCTATACCTGTATCCAGTACCTTTTATTAGGGATTTGATAAATTACAAGATTACATTATAAATTAGCGATTACTTTGATAAATAAGGTCACTTTCCAAGATTTGCACTTTTTCCATTGTCAGACAGTATAGACATAGGAAACTTTTCCTGGAAGTGATTTGACATGGATTTTTTCAAATAGAATGCCAAGAAACTTTGCGACTGAAGCATCCGTGGGAAGCCCAACCTGGGCCCAACCTTTCAGAGCACGCCATCGTGTAAAAGAATCTCCCAAAAACACACATACGACTTACGTCACATATGACCAGAATGTTTGACAATTAGAAGGACCGTCTTAATGATCCACCTGGAAAAAGAAAATTATCCTATGTACGTTTAGTCAATGACTAAAATAGTAAACTAATATGTATTAGTTTTGATTAATAGATGAATCATTACAGCCCTACTTTTAGTTCATTGTAAAACAATGGAAAGTATATTCTTGTGTTTACTGTTACCAACTGCCTGCAGCAGCTTCCTCCCTTAATGATAATGTTGATATTGGGTGATGGTAGACTTGAGTAGGTTCCAAGTGATGACACTTAGTGGTCAGAATGTCAGATGTGACTATGATAAAGAATGTTGATTACTGTGGAAAGTGTTTGCGAAGTTCTGACTTTGAGATTTACATGTAGCCGGGGCTCTGGATCGACGTCTCGCTGAGTGTGCCATGCCACAGGGGGTTGTCACTTCTCGACGAGGAGACAGGTCCATGCCTACTATGGAGACTTCCAGCAGCCATTGCACCGCCTCATGCAAAGCTCATGCTAATCGCCAGCGCTGGCTTCACCCCCCCACTGTCAGCTCAGCAAGCTGGCTGCACATCACCAGGGAGCCGTGCAGATCGACACAGGGGCTCACGGAGGATGGTGAGGTGGTGAGGACCAGCGTGGTGTGTGGTAGACAAGCAGAGCTGTTTGTAGATGCATGCCAGCCCACGTTTGCACACAATTCATTATGACACTAATGTCTGATAGTGGGCTACTTTAAATATAGGCATATCGTTTATCTGTTAATGAGTACAGGGAGATGGGCCTGTGGAATATGGTAATTCTCTGCTGTATTAAGCTTCACAATCTATCGTAAAACCGGGAACGTGTCGGAATGTGGCTGTGGTAAATGTTGTACAGAAAGTGCAGAAGTCTGATCTGAAAAGCAGAAGTCTGATCTGAAAAGGCCTATATTCCTTTAAAAAATAAAATTCTGAATTTCTAGTTTTAAACAGTGTTTTGTGTGTTGTGTATAACCTCATAATGGTTTGATTTATGTTGATTTTTTTGTTTAGTTTCCCATGTGTGTATCCAGATATACTGTACTAGTGCAGTGTCCTTGTCATCCTCTGAGTGTATGGATGAGAAGTGACAGGGTCACAGTGTGTGGAGGGGTCTGTCATATATGCAGCTGTACCTATGACCTCATATTCTCATAACAAGGGCTAAGGACTCTGCTTTGTCACTCCTAGGTCAGGTAACAGCCCCGAAAGCTTGACACTGAACAACAGCACATCCAAACAGCTGTTTAGCGGTGAACAACAAGGACAGACGACTATTTCTACAACCTACCCAGGACAAACTATAGGCCATGAGCCAAATCATACCATCATCTCTGTCTTTTCAGCCTGAAGTTGCTTTTTGACTCGCCGTTCCCTTACACCATCATTAATTTACTTTAATATTTCATTCAATACACTTTCAGGCAAGCCCAGAAATGGAGAGTTGCCAAGCAGCCAAAAAAAGGAGCATTACTCATAAGGGTCATGCTCCACTGCGCAAAACACAACCCCTCATATATCATCATAACTGCCATCCAGTGACAATTACAATTGAGATGGCAAGAACTAAGAGAGAGCTCCTTAATTTAACATCCAATTATTACAAGTTATCACCTCTTGATCAGTGTAATATAACAGACAATCAATGTTGCATGTGACACTTAGGAAAGGCCTGGTGTAAGTGTGGGTGAGACCGGTGGGGGTAAGCTGGGCACACACATAACTGTCTCACAAGTCTGTCCTCTATACTATCCCATAAACTATCAGAATGAATTGAAAAATTATTGTTAAAGAATATGCGTTGATTTTTCTCCTAGATTTTAAAAATATTTACCTTAGGCAAGACACTTCACCCCCATTGCCTAGAATGAGTCTTGTGTGTGTGAATGATTGGTGGTGGTCGGAGGGGCCGATGGCACATACTGGTTGCCTCGCTTCTGTCAGTGTGGCCCAGGGCAGCTGTGGCTACAGTAGTAGTTTATCATCACCGTGTATGGAGTGAATGAATAATGACATGTGAAGCGTCTTTGAGTGTCCAGAAAAGCGCTATATAAAACCAATGCATTATTATCATTATTATATTGGATAATGTATTTTGGTACATTTAATGTGGCTCAGCTGGTAGAGCGTTGGCCTTCGGGCCTTATGGTTGTGGGTTTGATCCCCCCTTGAGACCTACTACATCGACTCCCACTGATGTCTGCTGTTGTTGTGTCCCTGGACAAGACACACTTAACCCCACATTGCCTGAAGCCCCAAGGCTGTGTCGTTGCTGACAGAGCAGCAGCCACCACCTGCAGGAGGATCAGTGATTGGCTGGAGCTATGAGCATTGGGTGGCAGCTCTGATTGTCACCCCCCGACCCAGAAATGTTCTATAAAGGGGAAGAAAATGAATGGATTAATTCCTTTCCGGAGACAATCTCCGGAGATTCGTGATTTTAACCCATTTTGAAACAATAGCACTCCCCCGTAGAGTTGCAGTAGATTAGAAGCAAGTATTTCTGAAGATACTGTAGGAAGATCTTAATACTCTTAAATCCTGTGACTAATGAGCCAAATTAAAGAGATGATGACTCTCAAGGTGGCAATAGAAACAAGCAGGAAATGTCTGATGTGGTTCTGTTGTTTAAAAGGCATGGGACCAGTGCCAAAGATGTGTAAAAGTTTATCTGTTTGCATTAATGAGAGGATATTTGTCTAAGCCCCAAACTAAAACAAACACACTTGACACACTGAGGCGAACTAAGTAAAATCCATTTAGTCATTAACCAAATCTGCATATCAGCATTAACTACCATTAGCGGGGAGAATTAGCACAGAGTATACAAATTCGTATTGCCTTTCCCGAGTGATCAGAGGCGGAGTCATAATCAAAATAGACCTTAAAGCCTTTAAATCCTAATTCAAATGTATATGCTAATTAATCTGGATTAGTATATAATTTATGTAGATTATGCATTTCTCTTTATAAGTGTGTATTGTTTAGGCTTACTTGCTTGCAGTGCTTGAGTCTGTAAATGCTGGCAATTTCTTTTATTTATTATTATTCTCCTCAAATGTCTCTTTTGCTTGCCCTCCTCTTTTGCTTCTGGGATGCTATCTCCTCACAACTCTGCTCCTGTAGCCCGGTGGCAGCTTCATTTAGCATTTCAATCGGCAACTAAAAATAACCATCTTTTCTTTTATTCACACTGGCTTTGCTATAATGCAGCCACTCGGCGCGGGCAGATGGGAGGTCAATCCATTATCTCACCACCACCATCCAAGCTGCTGTCTGCCTCTTCAGCGCCAAACACTCAGACCATAGCACCTCACTTCTGCTGCGCCATTCCCATGAAAAAGCACTTCACAATATTTGGGAAAGGTATCTATGTATCTCATATCTATTCCAATGACAATAAACAAGAAGATATCTATATTATTTAGTATGCTTTAGTTTGAACAGTGTGGTCTGTATCAACAGGAGGAAGTTTGTGAAGTTCTTCAATAATGGACACAAAGGATGCTGTCTGGTTATTGGCGTTGGTCAAGTCCCGGACGTTTGCTTCCATTGGACATTTCAATCAAGAATTGTAAGACTAAAGAAATTAAAATATTGTCCTGAACTTGCCTTCCAAGCAAATTATTATATTTAATCTTATTATTGAGCATTTTATTGGGCGGCACGGTGGCTGAGTGGATAGCACTCTCGCTTCTCAGCAAAAAGGTCCTGGATTTGAATCCCGGTTGGACCAGGGCCTTTCTGAGTTTGCATGTTCTCCACGTGTCTGCGTAGGTGTCCTCTGGGTACTCCGGTTTCCCCTACCACTAAAATATGTACTGTAGGTTCAGGATGCGCCTCCTGTACTGGCGACCCCTCTCCCATCTCTGTGTGGAGTGAGAGGACAAATGCCCAAAAATAACATATTGTAAAGTGCTTTGTGACTCTGGTCTGTGAAAGGCGGTATATAAATAAAGATTACATACTTACTTAATTGTGGGAAAACTGTGGTGTGCCGCAATCTGGCCTTTTTTTTTGTTTTTTTTAATTTTGATGACAAATTGTTTTGGGCTCCTCACTGGCAAAGAGAAAGATCATCTGAGATCATGTATAGTATAACTTTGGACCTCTGCAAAATATTTAACTATTGTTTTTTGGATGGTCATTCTTGCTCACGGCCGTTGCAGAGTGTTTTTATACTAATTTAAGATCAAAGACCTTAATTATTGATCATTTTTTTTGAAGCATGGACATTGTACATGCAGCACATGTTTGATACATTACTCTGGCGATACATGCAGTGAAATCATGAGGCTATTCCTCCTAAACAGATCATTACCACCTCATTTAACATCGCTAATGCTTTACTGTGTGGAAAAAGAGTATTATAGTTGGTTAACCAGGATTTTAAGTGTGCCACATTCAATCAGAGTCTAAAGTAATAATTTCCTTTCTGTTCATTTAACTTATAATTGCCAAGCACATTATTTATGCCATGTAATCAGCTATCCATTATACTTATTGAGAAGATAAATGCCATTAGTGCCTTGGCATACGCTGTGCAGAATATGTTTTAATTTCCATATGGCGTAGGCACTTTATTTTCTATTGGCAATAATGTGATTCTTCCACTGAAAGGATGTAAGATCAATATCCTCTCAGGCCTGCGAGTTAAGAGCAAGAAGCAAGAAAAATAAGCCCATCCGCTGTGTCCCAATTGATATATGTCACAGAAAGACGGTGAAGATGATAATGAAATTGTTGAAAATGTACAATTTATGTGGTGATGAGTTAGCTTCTATGAGCTTTCTTGCACATTCCCCACAGGCCATTGTCAAACTAAAGCCATTAGCACATTCTCTGGCTAGCATTAACCTTTCTGCGGAGGCTTACCAATATCTCATCACGGCACAAGACTCGCTGCCCCCTCCATTTGTACGCTGCTCTTTTATGGGATCGGCCATTTCCAAGGCATTTAAAACATATATATGCCTTAGAAAAATGATCATTGGTAAAGTCCATCATTGGCTGTGTTTCCTGACTATTTCTATGAGTTACTGCAGTCAGTCTGTCTTGGCCCGCTTCTCTGGGACCTGGAGGAGACTGGGTGCTCTCCGTTATAGAAGGCATATGGTTTTTTGCAGCGATCGCCGGGGAGTCATTGTCTGAAAAGGCATGTTGCTTTACATGCATAGGTCAGAGGCTTCAGGACATAAGACCACTCACTGGAACAAAGAAATAAAAAAGTATTGATCAGCTGGATGCCATGCTGCAGTTATGACTGATTTAGGATGCGGTAAAATACTCTTGATCTATACAGTATAGAGTAGATAATGGCTGGTGTTATTTTATTGCACTATTTAAGCTGATGTGTCATATACTGTGCTTTGAGTAATACCTTCACTATGGTCTGCTAAACAGTAGAAACCTGAGCTTTACAGATACAAACTGCTTTAAGTCTGCTTTAAGATATTTTTACAGAAATAATTCTCATTGACTCAATGCCACAATATTCAGGTAATTCTTCTGAAATTATACGTATTGCTTTAAACAGTAGTATTGTCACTATTTTGATGCATTTTTTGGACTGTAAATTATATTTTCTAACTAAAATTAACAGTACTTTTCATGGGGACTTTCAATTTCAGATAAGTCTTAGAGTTCAGACAAAACACAAATCTGAAATAGCAACTTAAGGATTTGATTGA